TTGTACTTGTCAGACTGTACGAACATGATGATCATGTCACACTGTGGGATCTCATTTGTTATTAATGTCAGACTGTAGGACAGTCAAGACGCATTAAAAACGAGTGCGCACAAGAAAACTTGTCCGGAGTTTTACATTATCAACCCATCCACGTTCAGTGACTGCGAGCTGCATTGCATGGGGGGCTGTAATGGCTATCATTACAAGTATATGCATGGCGGCAGTACCGCCGTATTTAAGAAGAATAGTGTAAGCAGCACTACACACCCACATGAAAACAGCAGCACAACCGGTGTTTATCATAGCAAAAGCAGCGTATCATATGAATTCTGTGAGCGGAGGATAATAGTGCCGGAGTTTATGCGGTTAGAAAAAATCTCTAGCACTAATTCTGAAAAACGAAGACAGTTTGACGTTCGTCGTAGGAGAACTTCAGCTAAACACACATGGTAGCTCTTATGAGTCATGGATGTTGGCAAGACAAATTAACTATATTTGTCTTTTGGATAATTAGCTGTAAATTCGAGGCACAAGTAGCTTAGTCTTTTGTTCATCACCACTCATCTCCACACCAAGACAAACACAACTGGACTGTGACTGTGACTGTGATGTGATGCGCCGATGAATGTGTGCTACACTGCTGTGCTGCGGAGACGCGGAGGGGTGAAAGGCATCGGAACTCGACAGAGTCTCAACATTTCCCGACTCGGCCCGATATTTTGATTTTTTATTTGTTTGACAGGGAATGCTGTGTGCAAACAGAAACACACATATATACATATATTCATTTATTACAAAAATAAAAAAAACCTCCCCAGAAAAAAGGGCACTTTCTCTTTTGTATTTTACTAATATAATTTTGTTTACCATTTGGCTCATTCTTTTTTTTCTAAACCATAAATTTACAGATCATTTTATGCATAAAAGCGTATGAAAACTAAACTCAGTTAAAGTCTCAGAAAAATTTTTTTATTATTAAGTAAATTTATCATATTTTATATGAAACAAGATAAACCATTAAGAAAAAGATTTTTCTCAGTTAACTGTTTGAATGTTTGTCTAGAAATACAGTTGACAGATTTGTGAATGTTTTAGTAATTGAATGTCTGCCTGAAATAAATATTTAATGAAGGTACTGATTTCAGATCAGTTTTCACAGTCAACTGATTTACACATCAGTTCATAATATAGCCAGCAGGAGGAGTGGGTGATCTATATGAATGGGGATTGTGACAGTGGCACAGCAGTATTTATTAGCTAGAAAAATGCATTAAATATAATTTTATATATATATATATATATATATATATAGTCATATTATGTATTGTAAAAAAAGAATGTTCATCGTTTATATTTGTCTTTTGGATAATTAGCTGTAAATTCGAGGCACAAGTAGCTTAGTCTTTTGTTCATCACCACTCATCTCCACACCAAGACAAACACAACTGGACTGTGACTGTGACTGTGATGTGATGCGCCGATGAATGTGTGCTACACTGCTGTGCTGCGGAGACGCGGAGGGGTGAAAGGCATCGGAACTCGACAGAGTCTCAACATTTCCCGACTCGGCCCGATATTTTGATTTTTTATTTGTTTGACAGGGAATGCTGTGTGCAAACAGAAACACACATATATACATATATTCATTTATTACAAAAATAAAAAAAACCTCCCCAGAAAAAAGGGCACTTTCTCTCAAGGAAGAAAAAGGGCAGGTGCTCAAGCCCCCTTTTATGTCTATGTGTGCACGTGCCTGGTTGTCAGTATATTATAAAAGGTAAAAAACAGCTTTACTAATTTGATGTAGTAACATTATTTCCGTTAATAAAGTATACTTTTTTATTGTACATTAAATTTCAATCTGTAAAACCTAAAAAGTTGCTATTGTATTTTTACAGTAAATATCTGGCAACCACAGCTGCTGTTTTTTAACCATACTTTTATCATTTTTACTATATTTTTACAATATAGTAGCCACAAGATGATGTAACCAAAAGTGTTAACATGATTTTAATGTGAAAATCACTTAAATAACATTTTCTGTGTGAAGTTCCAATTTTACAAATGTATCTAATTTTCCAATTTTGTTTACCAGGGCCCCAAAACAGCTGTAAAAATTATGGATTAAGCAGCTTTACGCCTCAAATATTGCATGTCTTTAGCATTTTATAATGCAAGTAAAATAAAATGAATTATTTTAATTATTAGTTATTACTTTAATAAAATTATTTTATACTAATTTTTATACCATGTCCATTGTAATTGCCTCACTGTAAACCTTAATTTGGAAACAAAGGACAAGTCAAAATATATTTGTTTTTGTTATACCACAAATGCTGTTAATAGAGCTTAACTTGTATGGAACCCGTAATATTCCTATCATTTAAATTTATGACATGGCTTGTCAAGGTTATGGTGACATTGCAAGACAAAAAACACAGTCCAGATTCAAAGGGGGCGAGGAGCTTTGTTAATAATCCGTTGCCGACAAAGTGTGAACATTTACCCATGGCCACATTTGAACCCATTTGCACGGTACCTGATGAACTGTTCCGTCAATCTCCACAGGGACTATAAAGTCTGCGTTGCTGATGGGCTGCAGGCACAAAACAGGAAATCACACATTAGGAGCCTGTTTGAAACCGACTTTAAGCATGTTACAGCTGTATCAGCTGCGCTGTTCTCTGAGAGAGCCAGAGGGAGGCATGCACCGCTTCACAGCTACCTGTAGTCAAGACTTTCAATTAGACTTCTTTGAGCGTGTATGTGCATGAGTGTGTGCATTTGAGCATGTGTGTTTCTGACAGCTGACTGCATGGAGCTGGAACTGCAAGCGTCTTTGAAAAGAGACGATACGCTTTTAAAGAAAGTGGAGGGAGAGAGAGGAGGAGACGTGCTGTAGAGCGCTGGGAGACGATGAAAGACTCAGCGGGTGGCTATGAGCTGTCTTATTGCAAACAGAGAAAGGGAAAGGAAGATGAGGACGAGAAGAGGAGAGAAAACTTTTGCTCTTTGCACTTTTCAAGGGCTTGTTAAAAACAAGGAAATTCTGTGGATCTCAGTTCTGATTGGACGGCAGAGGAGGCGGCTCATCCAATATCTGACCTGGCTTGCATAACATCATGACTGATAGATAGTTTCATTTACAACAGGCAGACTGCAGACCATAATATTCTTAATTAGTATTTTTCTTAATTAGTCTTGTTTTGAAATAATTAGTTTTGTATTTTACTAATATAATTTTGTTTACCATTTGGCTCATTCTTTTTTTTCTAAACCATAAATAAACAAGTATTATGTCTATGTCTGTCTAAAACTAAAAAAATCCATTGCATTAAATACTAAATATTTAATATTCTTGTTAAAATACTTTTTGTAGCCACTGTATGTAAAAAAGGAAAAGAACAACATCTGTCACTGAGAAAATCAAGCCAACTGAGACAGAACATGCTAGGTAATAATTATAAGTGATAGAAAATATTGTAAACACTCGTCAAGTATGGTCACGGTCAAATCGTTTTTGTGTAACTGTGAGCATACCTTTCCAATGTGATGTGTGTGTATGTGGGTGTGTGTTTTGGTGTCAGGATGGGTGTATTTGTGTGTGTATGTGAGGTTGGGAACGCGCACAAAAGGCATGCATCCCTCTCTCTGGGCCTCTTTCTCTCAGTCGCCGCCTTTCTCTCTTCTCTGAGCAAAAACAGGAGCTGCCAGGCAGACATTTTAAAGGAGGACAGGCTTAACAAAACACAGTTATTAGTCTTAGAGCAAACACATTCAGCATCTGTCACTGTCTTTCTCCTTTGGGAGCAGGGATGTATCCAGCTGTGGAAGACATGTATGCATTAAGCAGGATGTGTGTACATATGTAAATGTAGAGTGATTGTATGTAATCAACTGGACATAGTTGTTTATTTGACCGTGTGTGTGAGAGAGAGAGCTAAAAACCAGCCTAAAACCAAGATGCAGAGAAGTGGGTCACTGCACTCAGCAGGTGGCTCCCCGAAGCGCTACTTTATAGAGACCAGACAAACATTTAATCTCGGAAGAGGATTTAATTCATTTGGGACTTAAAATCC